GATGCGCTTTATTTCTTTTTCTAGCCTAACTGCTCTGGCTAGGCCCTCCAGCACAATGTTGAATAATAGTGGTGATAAAGGGCATCCTTGTCTGGTTCCTGTTCTCAAGGGGAATGCTTTCAAAGTCTCTCCATTCAGGATGATGTTGTCTATTTGTTTTGTATAAATGCCCTTAATTATACTGAGGAATTTCCCTTCTATTCCTATTTTGTTGAGAGTTTTTCTCATGAATGGGTGTTGGACTTTGTCAGAATGCCTTTTTTACATCGATTGATAAGATTATGTGGTTCTTGTCTTTTGTTTTATTTATGTGATGGATTACTTTGATTGTTTTTCTAATGTTGAACCATCCCTGCATACCTGGTATAAATCCCACTGGGTCATGGTGAATTATTTTCTTGATATGTTGCTGAATTCTATTGGCTAGAATTTTGTTGAGGATTTTTGCGTCAATGTTCTTGAGGGATATCGGTCTGTAATTTTCTATTTTTGTGGTGTCTTTACCTGGTTTTGGTATCAGGGTTATGCTGGCTTCATAGAATGAGTTTGGAGTATCCCATCCTTTTCTATGCTCTGAAGTACATTTAGTAGAAGCGGTGTTATCTCTTCTGTGAAAGTTTGGTAGAATTCTTCAGAGAAGCCACCAGTCCTCAAGACCCTGCTGCAGATCTATAAATGTGCCTACTTGAGGGGCAGGGCTGTGTCGAGGGTCACAAATCTGCCCATTCACAGCTGAAGAAGTTGAAGGTAAACTTCAGATGTTTGCCCTGTTGTACTGTGGCAGTGAGGGCTAACACTGTTGAGATGGGTCCCCACAAGTCTATACAGGGTGTAAGGCACTCAGAGTCTGCGGACCCCTGATTTCTGTGGCCAGCAAAGCACCTGTGCTGACCCTGTGTTCCTGGCCTAGGGGAGCCAGCAGCTTATTTGTTCCTTCTCCAAGGCCAGGAGAATGGGTCAGGGTGCCTTTTGGGATCTACTTCTGGCCCAGTGTACTCCCAGTGCAGAGCGTGGAGCGAGGAGGTAAAAGGGAGAGAGGTTTTTCCCAAATGAGCTTTTTTTTTTTGATCACCCCAAAAGGGTGCACGCACGTACTTATCCCAGCCTCTTGGGAGCTGCTCTTCACTGGTTCGGAGTGTCCAAGCAGAATCTCTGCTGCCAGGTCTCTCTTGATGTGGAAACTGCTTCCTGAGCATGTGCACAGCACAGCTGTATGCCTGCTTCACCGTGGACTGGCATGGCTGTGGCTCTGCAGTTTCACTGCCACGGCTCTAGCCTTCCTCACCTTTTCCAAACAGTTTTCCTCTCCCGTATGACTCAGATGTATTTCTTAACCTTTGTTCAGGGCTGCCAAATGTTCACATAGAATCAAATCATTTGTTTTTCCAGGACTTTGTTGTAAGAGGGATATAGGAAGCATCTAACTACTCCACCATGTTGATCACGGCTCCTCCTCAGTTTTTTAAAAATAAATTTCTCTCTGTTCTTTAACCAAATGGCTGTTTTACAAGCTAATAAGTATAGTAAAAACTAGTTTTCTATTGTGCTAATATGTGTGTGTTTAATCTATTTCTTTGTGTTAAGAATAGGTGACTAGAAAATTTACTTATTTGAAATGTTTCCTTTTCTTTTGAAGGGAGAAATGTCTTTAATTTCCAATTTGAGAAGTAAGTTTGCCTTTAGAAGAATTTGCTAAACCTAAGAGTTTTAAACTTAATCAGTGTATTTGAATCTATATGGAGGTAAGTTATACCAATCCAAACAGTGTTGAGAAAATGAGAAATGAGAAAATATTTCATTAAAAAAGCAAAACACCATGAAATGTGAATGATGCAATATGCTTGGTAAAGAAGAATTCTATTCAGGAATTTTTTTTTTAATTTCATGACTTTTAAGAGATAGCATTTTTCCTCTTTAAGATAAATGAATGCAGTTAAGTTCAATGACATTCTAACTACGTCAGCAAGCTCCAAAAATTTAATGAGTGTGTGTCTCTTCTTGTGTCAGAGGAAAACAAATTAATGAGATTCCTCAATTAAATGAATAAAAATTAATGATACAAAAGAAGGCCAGGTATTTTCTCATACGTTCTGCTGAGAGTATATAAGCATCTGTACACATGCAGACATTCATACCCAGGAGTTTGCCTTGAACAGCAAACCAAACTCACCTCTCCTGACACCATGAGCTACTACAGGAGCTACTACAGAGGCCTGGGCTATGGCTATGGAGGCTTTGGTGGCCTGGGCAGTGGTTATGGCTGTGGCTGTGGGAGCTTCCGCAGACTGGGCCATAGCTTCGGCTATGGAGGCTATGGATTTGGCTGCTTCCGCCCATCTTACTATCGAAGATATGGATTCTCTACCTTCTACTGAACTACGGCTCCATTAACTCAACATCTGGTACCGTGAATGGACTTCCCAAAACATTTTCAGTCAATGGACCAAAATCACCCTGAATCTATTTAACATTTAAAAATACCAGAGAATTTGTCATGAATAAGCTTGTCTGGGAAACCCTGGTGGCTTAGTGGTTAAGAGTTTGGCTGCTAACAAAGGTCAGCAGTTCAAATCCACCAGCCACTCCTTGGAAACTCTATGGGGTAGTTCTACTCTGTCCCATAGGGTTGCTATGGGTCAGAATCCACTCGACGGCAATGTTTTTTTTTTCTAATTTTTTTTTTAAGCTTGTCTGTATCAGGTCTCCTGCCATCCTCTACTTGGGCATTCACAGCTGAGGTGAGGGTTTCTGTTTAATTCCCAATAAATGACTTAATTTGAAATAGAAAATATGGCTTTTGCTTGACTCATTTAACTTAGTTATGTGCGAACCTTTATATGTAATTTTTACCAACTGCCAATTAGAAATACAATACATGGGTAATTATATATGCATGTAAATATATATGTATATGTGTATGTATATATATACACATATACAAACCAAAAGTGAAAACAACTGCCATAGAGTTGATTCCAACTCATGGTGACCCTGTAGAACAGAGTAAAACTGCCACATAGGGTTTCCAAGGCTGTAAATCTTTATAGAAGCAGACTGGTACATCTTTCTCCCATGGAGCTGCTGGTGGTTTCAAACCACTGACCTTTTGGTTAGCAGTCTAGCATTTTAACCGTTGTGCCAGTCAGGTTCTCTGAATTATATATGACTTCCTTTATTCATAATCTTCTGTTGTCATTAAGTTTGTTATTTACGTAAAACAAAGCTGACCTAAAAGTCATTGATAAATTGGATAAGAAAGCATGGACTTTGGTCATTGAACCTATCTCATTTGTCCTCCGGCAGCACCGAGAATTCTTCATCATCATTGTCATCACCATACTGAAGGATTTGCATCCAGTAAGGACAATAAACAATCAGAAATATCACTGGAAGCAAAATACTGTGTAACGTCTGCAGACTGAAGCACGATTTAATTATATATATACAAATTTCAGTAAAACAGCATCCCTTTTGCACTATGCAAAATAAGGAATACAATCAGGAAAAAAACCTATAAATTATTAATTGCTTTCCTACAACTGAATGATGTATTCAGGCTATGATATGAGCCTAGAGATGTCTGCTTTAAGCTGTATAAATGCAATCAAACAGGGGCAAAAATAAAATCATAGAATTAGAGAGCTTCCAAGTACTTTAAAACTACAACTTTGCCCTCAATTTTGTAGGCAGGTGAACTCAGATTTTGTGATTTACCCTGACAGTTAATGGCAAGACGAGGATCAGAACACTGCTGTCCTGAGTCCCAGGTAGTCTTCTAAACTACGGTGACTCTCTCTTTATGTATTTTCTCCTTGAATGTTGTAAAGGAAATCATCTGGTCATGATTGTGTTGTTGTTGTATTAGTTGCTGTTGAGTCTAGATGGAAGAAGTGTGGTGTCGATTTGAGTAAAGAAGTTGGAACCAAAACCATTTTGTGTACTTCACACTTTCACCTGGATACAATAATAAATAGTGAAGGAATGGAACTTGGGTGATATTTGAAGTGAGATTTGAAAAAAGAAGTACAATATGGAGATTAGCAACGAGGACTAGAAAAAGAGACAAAAGATGGTGTATGGAGAAAGTTATCATCTGCATGTGTGGTAGCACTAAGGCTAGAAACTATTCTGGAGAAAAGAACCAGGGTTAAAAAAAGAGACCTCTTGAACATCTAACACGTCTGCTTATGAGGTGGGCTTTTGATCATCGTGATCATCCCTCCACTTCTGATGCTAATTATCCTATGTTGTTAAACCAAAACAAAGACTTCACATGCAGGTTGTTAAGCAAAAAAAAAAAAAAATTCCATCAATTGAGAATGGTCGAAGTTCTAAACTCTGCAAAATGTAGGTGACATTTTGTTGTTGTTGTTGTCTGGTAAACAAAGCAGGTGAACCAAATCTTTTGTGACATAAAGTGATCTCTTATCTTCTGAAGATGGGTACTCCCTTTGCTTCTCATCCTACAAATATGAAGAAATTGATAAAGTTGAAAGTCTTGACTTTGATCATTTTTTGGATTTTTATGGAGATAAGGTTAACAACCGAAGGAATGCCTGTGATAAGAAGACATTTAATTAGAAATAAAACAATATCTAATATGATTGATGCTAAATCTCTGGTAATGGAGAATTCTATTTAGGGTTTGGTATGCCTAGACTTTGAACAAACAGTAATTTCTTCTAATAAGAGTAAAGTGGTAAATGTGAAGTCAACCTAACTAAGCAGCCAAGCTAACTCAGACTTTCTTAATGAGTGTTGTCAGAGCGCAAAACTTAACAAGTTGCTTGGGGTAAGTATAGTTCATGGAGTGACACCAAACAAGGGGCATGTGTTTTATCGCATTCTCCTACCAGGGTGTGTAAGCATCACTGTACAGATTGCAACATTCACACTCAGGATCTTACCTTGAATAGCAAACTAAACTCATTACCCCCGAGACCATGAGCTACTATGTTAACTTACTATAGAGGCCTGGCCTACGGCTATAGAGGCTTTGGTGGCCTGGGATATGGCTGTGGTATTGACCGTGGTAGCTTCTGCAGAAGGAGCTATGGCTGTGGCTACGGAGGCTACAGATCTGGCTCTGGCTATGGAGACTATGGATATGGCCACTGCAGCCCATCTTGCTATGGAGGTTATGGCTTCTCTGGCTTCTACTAAGCGAATTGCTGAAATTGGAAACAAAGGAGAATTTCTAAATGTGTTTAGACCTTGTCCTTGTGCTGTCATTTCAGTAACCTCCATCTCATTTTCTCCAGGATTAATTGATAATTATTTATCAGTGATTAAGCTGCTTCTGTGCATATCTGGTGTTTTGCTACCTTTAGCACCCACCTAATTGTACATACAGTATGTATAACCATTGTAGTTTGACCTCTTATTTTACTCTGTTTTTCTTATCACAGCTACCATCATGTCATCTTTTTTAGCAAAGTCCTAGAGAAAACTTGAATATACTTTTTTCTAATAAGTTGATACTTAACATGTAAACGTTTTAGTTTTTTTCAAACATCTTTTTATTTAAGCTAATATAACAATTTTACTCATGAAACAGTGAGATCTATGACTATGTAGTAGAGTATGAAGAAACTCTTTCTAAATCACCAGGTTATACAAGCTTGAGAATGTATAACATGCCATATTAACAGTAAATGAAAATTACTTGTCCTCATCTACTCACTTAGGAAGTCAGTCGCTCTCATTCTTCCTGGGATAAACAAGGAGGGTATCATCCTCATATTTACACTCAAGTACATTCTGATGAGCAACAACGTTTTAGCTGAATACCTTGCTGGTACCACTGCTCTGGTATTTGAAATACTAGCGCCATAGTTTCCAGCATACAACAACATGCAAGCCACCACAGTATGACAAATTGACGGACAAATCATCCATGGTGGACAAGTTTTACTGGCGCTTCCATCCTAAAACAGTCTAGGAAGAAGGACCTAGTGATCTACTTCCAAAAAAGATTGACCAGCAAAAACCTTATGGATAGCAGTGGAACATTGTCTGATATAGTGCTGGAAGATGAGACCCTCAGGTTGGAAGGCACTTAAAATAGGACTTCAGAAAAGCTGCCTCCTCAAAGTGGAGTAGACCTTAATGACATGAATCGAGTCAAGCTTTGAGGACCTTCATTTGCTGATGTGGCATGACTTAATATAAGAAAAACTGCTGGAAATATCCATTAGTAATTAAAATGTGGAATGTACGAAGTACGAGACTAGGAAAATTGGAAGTCGTCAAAATGAAATGGAACACATGAAGATCGATATCTAGGTTTTAGTGAACTGCAGTGGACTGGTGTTGGCCATTTTGAATCTGGCAATCATATGGTCTATTGTGCTGGAATGACAAATTGAAGAGGAATGTCATTGCACTCATTGTTAAAAAGAAAATTTCAAGATCTATCATGAAGTACAGAACTGTCAGTGATAGGAAAATATCCATGTGTTTACAAGGAAGACCAGTTAATGTAACTATAATTTAAATTTACACACCAACCACTAATGGCAAAGATGAAGAAACTGAAGATTTTTACCAACATCTGCAGTCTGAAATTGATCAAATATGCAATCAAGATGTATTAATAATTACTGGTGATTGGAATTCAAAAGTTGGAAACAAGCAAGAGGAATCAGAAGTTGGAAAATATAGCTTTGGTGATAGAAATGACACCAGAGATCACAAGATAGAATTTTGCAAGATCAATGACTTATTCATTGGAAATATCTTTCTCAACAACATAAATGATGACTAAAAATGTGGACCTTTGCTGGATGGAATACACAGAAATGGAAATGACTACATCTGTTTAAAGAGATGATGGATAAGCTCAATATCATCAGTCAGAACAAGGCCGGGGCCATCTGCAGAACAGACCATCAATTGCTCATGTGCAAGTTCAAGTTGAAGCTGAAGAAAATTAAAACAAGGCTATGGAAGAAATGTATGACCTTGAGCACACTTCACCTGAATTTAGAGGCCATGTCGAGAATAGATTTGATGCTTTGAACACTAATGACCAAAGACCAGGCAAGTTGTAGGATAACATCAAGGACATCATACACGAAGAAAGCAAAAGGTCATTAAAAAGACAGGAAGAAAAGGTAAGGACAAAATGGTTGCCAGAATAGACTGTGAAACTTGCTCTTAAATGTAGAGTTGCTAAAGCGAACAGAAGAAATGATGAAGTAAAAGAGCTAAACAGAAGATTTCAAGGGCATCTGGAGAAGACAGAATAAAGTATTATAATGAAATGTGCAAAGACCTGGAGTTAGGAAACCAAAAGGGAAGAACATGCTCTGCATTTCTCAAGATGAAAGAACTGAAGAAAAAACTCAAGTCTGGAGTTGCAATTTTGAAGGAT